AAAAAATACTTTACAGAGAAAATATACATAGTACAACATAAAATATTAATATTAATCAATTCAGATAATATATATATTTCTATTACTTTCTCGCTCTACGACGCAGTACTTCCTCTTTTATTAACCCAATATGAACTATCGTAATTTGGCATTAGAAACACGGCTATAGCTCTCTCTCTGTCTCTGTCTGTCTCTCTCTCTCTTTGACGATCTATGCCCTTGCTGCATTTATGTATGTATTTTGCACCTTGTTCGACTTCCGTGTTGGTATTTACTCCACATATTTGGGATTTGGTTCAGCTGTGGGCGTGTGGGCGTGGCATGGAAAACCATTAAATAAATTACATGCTGCTAGCTCCTGGCTCCCGTTGCGAGTGTCAAGAGCGGTGCGGGGCATTCAATGCAATCGCATTGATGTTGAACAAAAAAAATGAAAATAAACGACGACGACTATAGCGCTTAACTGTCGAGTTGGGCGTATTTTGGGGGGGTGAGGGTGTGGCGGTGGATGGGGGCGTGGCCCAACGGCAAGCAAAGGCATTGACGGCGGTGTTGACGCTGTTTTGTGGGCATCAAAACATCAAAGTGATTGAATTGTTGCGATTGCTTTCAGAAAAGTGTGCAATGTCTGAGAGCAATTTGAATTGAATTGAAATTAAATTAAAATTGCCAGCAGTTGAGTCCACCAGTTGAATAAACTATGCAGAACACTTATACGACCCGTATGCCGTGCCTAAAAAAACACACACCTCCATTTGCAGCATGTTTTCGATATTTAGTGGAAATGCAATATGCATGTTCCTGGCCATCATTTTTAATGCACATTTTAATTGGCATAAATATACATTACCACTAAACACAGGCCAGACCACAAATGCCTATAAGCTTCCCACACACATATATGTACATGTATATGTATTCCCCTTTGTTTGTCAGCGATTGCCATTAAAATTTAAATCACAGCAATTATTATTAATGGTCGAAAGCGACTTTCGTAAATGTACGCAAATCGATGCGCAATTTGTGCAATGCCCATTGGCAACAATTACAACAAAGCCAAATGTTAACTGTTAAACTAGCATAAATCAATGGTATTAATTTTCACGCCGTTTTAATGCACAACACCGACAACAACAACAACAACAACAATTACAACAAATAAAAAATAATAAAAAATGTCGCCATCGTGCCTAACTGACTGCAAAATACTCGTTCAAGATGGATCCTGAATGACTACAGATTTACTACTCATTCTCTCTGAAAGGGGTATATACGGTTTTATGCGTCTTGCTGTCTGTCCGTCCGTCCATATTAATGCAAAGAATTTAGCTGCTATTTGTTTGTTGAAATTTGGTATACAACCTCAGGCTAAGATTTATAGGCATCGGGGGCGTGGCAAATGGAAACTATTCATTTATTTTAAAATGCTTTGCAGTTAGAACACCAAACTGAAATAATTACTGCAGTACTGCAAATTCCTTCCTGAATAAGATTAAATTGTTTTACAACCGTTAATGTGTATTATGCAGTCGGTAGGATCCGACATGAAACGTTCTTACATTCCCTTACTTGCCACGGAAAAGATGTATATTTATTCTGGTTTAATATATTTCCATGTGGCATATATGCGAGTATCATTAAATCATTTTAAGTCATTTCAATCTTCAAATGAAATGAGCAGTAATTCTGTAGACAAATTTCTTGCTGGAAGACTGTAGAATATTCTGTTTTTCCACTTTTGCAGTAGCGATCCTTAATAAATGTGGATATACAATATTATTGTGGATAATCTGTATATGAGGGGAAGAACGTAATATTTACATTTTTATTTTTGGCTGTAAGTTCTCTAGAAGCTGTCAATAGTAAACCAATTTAAAAAGTATGGTGCTCTAGTTTGTCATAGGCAGGTCGTATAGACATCAAAATCAATATTCTCATTTCGCACTTTATAAGCGAGTGAAATTAAAAATAAATGCAAACTGTAAAATGTAAAGGATTTATATGAAATGACAGTTAGGAACAAATTAAAATGCGAATATATATTACAACATTTATCTGATATAAATAAATTGGAATGAATATTGCGCCTTAATAGTAATGAGATCAAGGTGTCCTACAGGAATAACCTGAAAGCGATATAAATTATTTATTAAACAGCAACAAAACAGATTAATTGAAAATTGCAAAAGCGCAATTTATCTGGGAATACCTACAGCCGGCAAGCCCCTTACAGAAATGCTGATGGTAAAGGTGACAATGATTTTGTATATAGAAAATGGAAAATTGCTAAGATCCTTCCTTTATAATTAACTGGAATCTACTCAAGTTACAGCACAAAGTGTTAAAAGAACAGCAGAAGAGGAAAAAATAAAATAAAAATTGAGCAAGGACAGATCTGTGGCCCAGGTCTTATCGCTGCGTATCACATTAGCCAGATTTGCATCGGGATTACGCGTTGCGGCAGAAGTAGGTGCAAAGCAAAAACTCTCACCTTTTCCAACCAAAATTCAAAGGTCCTGTGACAATTGTCACGAATCAAGAGGCCTCTCAAGAGTGAGCTCAAACCCGAGCTCGAAATCTAGTGCAATCTGGGCTCGGCACTCGAGCGTCAACAAAAGGTAAGCAGATTTGTGCTAATATGACGGCATCTGTGCGACAATGCGACTCAGGCAAACGGAGCATGAGACAGATCGGCACCTGAAGCCGGGCCCAGCCGAACGCTGCGTGTGAACGGCGACAACGCCTCAATAGGGATCTTAGAGAGCTGCACGCGATCCTCGTTTGCAAGATAAACAGAGCACTCACGCACATACACGCTCACACACACGTACATTCATAGTGCATGCCTAAGCTTCAAGTGCTGTTTGCTTAAATTATGTAAATCTGTGCAAATCCAGCGGGCGGGCCGAGCATTGCAAACGTGAATTGTGTGGCGCGCGCCGAGCATCGAACTTCACAAACAAAGCTAACACACATTCACATTAATTGGTAAACGCAGTCCGGACTTAACTGACGGAATTGGTGCAGGAGCTTAGCATGAATGCCTGTGAAATTCACGGAAAAACGTAATGGATAGCCAACCAAAAATGTGAGTTGTAAACGCATAAACACAGAGCTCCCCCATTCCATGGTCGGAATAAGAGCCAACTGTGTGCATTTAGGCTTGTTAGCGTCAATATCTTCGGATTTCCAATTGACGTGCGTGGAAAATTATATGGAAAGTGAGGTTAACAGTCAAAACTGAAAGCTCGCTTGTTGTCTAATTATAGGCAATGTATCTGGTAGGAGATTCAGCATAAACTGGGCATGAGCACTGCGTAGAGATGGCCCTATGTATATAGCCATATGTTCAGCTTCCATATTGAACAGAGATAATTCAGGAACAGTTCTTACCCAAGTGCCAAGAGAATGATATCACCCAACAAATCGTGGAGCTCTGTTTCTCTATCTCCCTCGCTCTCTCTTATCCATATGCCTGAGTACACCTATTTACGCCCAGGAGTGAATATTACTGTAAATGTTTTGCCAACATATTGTCATATGCAAAACATTCGCCTTGCTGCCGGCTGCCATTGTTTCGTTAGGGAAAGATTCAAGATTCGGCTGAGTGCAAACTATGCATGCAGTTTTCATTGTTCAGTCGGCCAGTTGGCATCGTCTAAACCGCAAACCAAAGACAAGCAGACGCCATTATGCTACGCACTGTGATTCGCTTTGTTGTTAGCCGTGCTCATGTGTGTGTGTGTGTTGAATGAAGGCGATGCCGATGCCGCTACCGCTGCTGCTGCTGAGCCTGAGCCGCTTTTGAGCATTTGCTAGATTAAGAAACAAAACAACATTAATGCGTACATACATACATACAAACATAGGTATTGGGTACTGAACATGCGAGCATGCATTTGCTTTGCTCTTGCTTTATGCTGTCCAACGTATCAGAGCTCATTACCATTGTATGGCGTGCGGAGTGCGTGATAAATATTTTGCTACACTTTCCATTATCTTTTTTGACAAGAATAGGTTTGTAGGCTTGCAGATTTGTATGTGCAGATTCAAGCAGTTATCTCCCACTGGATCTTTGGCATTAAGACACGCGGCAAATGCTTTGAACTCAAATGCACAAATCTTATTGCTCTTTTATGAACATGCATATCCCAAAATTTGTTAAAAAATGCTATTGCACTTAAACTTACTAGTTTAAATTTTCGCTCCACAATTTTCGCCGCAATAAATGCCCGATAACATGTACAGTCCGATAGCTTTGCCGGTGCTGCCAACTGGTGGAAAAGCTTTTGTCATTTGTTTTGTTTTTGTACTGTGGTTTCGCAGTTTGTTTTATGCCGGTTCGTGTTAGTGCTGCAAAAAAATCGATATTCCGTAATATCGATATTCACGATATTTTCAGAGAAAAAGATCGATAAAAACGATATATCGAACACTTCTTTTAAATGTTAATTTTCTTGCTTAGAATCTATTATAATATTTATATTAATTATGACTTCTTAATGGATAAAATGGCAACCATTTCAAGATTAAAATAAAAGCAACAGCATCAAACAAAAACAAATTTATTCAACCGAACAAAGTCGTATAACAAATTATTTTTCATNACCATCCTTTCCTTTTTCAAAATATTTCCACACTTCGGATTTTTTGGGGCTCCCACGGTCTTATTTTCTTCATCGGAGTCCACCCTCGCCGCGCCTAAAACACACAAGCTATGATTCCAAGCTTTTCCAATAGGATATATCAATTGTACTTACGTTTTCTTCCCAAAAACTGATCAATTTTTTTTCTTTCTATCGCAATTAAATTAAATCAATCAATTTGTATACAATTTAGCAAAATTAAATAAATGCGCTTCTTACACAGTTAAAACCAACGCCAAGAATAACCATTTTTTCGATATATCGATACTAAGAAAACCATATCGATCTTTTGCCAAAATTCGAAAATATCGATTATAACGATTCCGATCCGATATTTTTGCAGCACTAGTTCGTGTTCACTTATCGTTCAGTTCAGGTTGACGACTTGTAAACGGTTATTAATTTGCAGACGATTTTAATTTGCTTATTTAAATCAAATAAATCATGTCATTTATCGGACGTACACTGCTGCGCAATGTAAGTGTTTTAGTTTCTGGGTGCAGCTCATTTCGAGAAAAACATGCCATTGTGATTACGTAATGTAAAACATGCAAATTGTGCATTGCAGGTGCCGCTCATAAGTAAAGTCATCGCTGGTCAGCATAAACAAACAGCACGTCTGCTGCATCAGAGTAAGCATACGCAATTAGTTTCTTTGTTCTATTCACTCCAACTTAACGAACTTCCTCCACATCCACAGCTAGTGCACTGTACGCAGTGCGTGTGCAACAGCCGGCACCCGATTTTAAAGGCTTGGCCGTCGTTGGCAACGATTTCCAGGAGATCAAACTCGAGGACTACAGAGGCAAATACTTGGTTCTGTTCTTCTATCCCTTAGATTTGTAAGACAGTGTGGCAACATTTGCCGCAAGTAGCCGTTTACATCTTGTTTTTTGTTTTTTTACAGCACCTTCGTCTGTCCAACAGAAATTGTTGCATTTAGCGAACGCATCAAGGAGTTCCAGGACATCAACACCGAGGTTGTGGGCGTCTCGGTTGACTCGCATTTTAGCCATCTGACTTGGTGCAATGTGGATCGTAAAAATGGCGGTGTCGGCAAGCTGAAATACCCATTACTCTCGGACATCACCAAGAAAATATCCGCTGATTACGGCGTGCTGCTTGATAAGGAAGGCATCTCGCTGCGTGGCACATTTATTATCGACCCCAAGGGCGTGCTGCGTCAGTACAGTATCAATGATTTGCCCGTAGGTCGTTCCGTGGATGAGGTGTTGCGTTTGATCAAGGCTTTCCAGTTTGTGGAGGAGCACGGTGAAGTGTGCCCAGCCAATTGGAATCCGAAAACGAATCCAGCTACTATCAAGCCAGACGTTGACGAGTCCAAGCAGTACTTCAGCAAGCATGGTTAAATCACTAAGCAAACACTCCACATTCATCACAGAACAACAAACACCTTAATAAAGCTCTAAACTAATGTTTAGTCAATCCTTTAATGAAGCATAAAATACAAAGTACATAGTTACATATTTAGTTCAGGTTGTTTAAGTTTATAAGAAGATTGTTAGGCTACAAGTTATAGATGTGCGGGGCATATATGATAGATCAGTTAGATGGCGGCGGCGGCGGTGGTGGCTGCGACAAACTGAGCGAGGGCGGCGGCGGTGCGCACGGCGGTGGTGGTGGCGGCACATACCCAGTGCCCCAGCCGGGATAGCCGCTGGCCCACGGTGGCATTGGCGGCGCACTTGTACCAGGCGGCGGCGGTATTAATGGCGGCAATGTGCCTGGTATTGGCGGATTCATGGGCTCAGTGGCCGGTGGTGGCGGCTGTGGCGCACTCATCCAAGGCATCAGCGGTGGCGGCATCGGCGGTGGCGCCTGGACCACGGGTGGTGGTGGCACATACGGTGCCATGCCCATTCCATGTTCCATGCCCATACTGGGGTCCATGTTCATTTGATGCTCGTGCGAAGATCCTCCCCAGCCACCGCCCATGTCCCGTTGATGATCACGAGACGACGAGTTGGGTGGCGACTGAATAGCCTGCATCGGAGAAGGCTTTTTATCAAAGATGCTGTAGCTCGCGCGATGTAGTTGTGGAGCAGTCGGAGCATCAGCCTTCACAGCGGAAGGGGGCGGTCCCTCGCCCAGCTCGGCCATTAAGCTCATGTACTCCTCATCGATCTTGGCCTGGGAATCCTCACAGGCCATACCAGGTGCTCCGGAGCCCGGACGTTTATTACGACAATCCTTTGTCAAATGTCCAGTGCCGCCGCACGAAGTGCACACAATGGTGTTGGTGATGATTGGCTTATCGGGGCACTGCCAGGACTTGTGATCCGTTGAGCCGCAAGTGCAGCGTTGTATGTCATTCTCGCGCAGTGTGCCATTAAGTTGGGCCAATTCGCGCAGCTGCATGCGGCGCAGATCATTGTGACCCTCGGGCACCTCAATGCCCTGACGAATGACGTCTTTAATCTTATCCACAGCCTTGCGCACTGCCTCTGGATTGGGTGCTGTGATAAAGGCGTGCAGTGGCTCATCCTCGCCCGGCAAAGGTTGCCCATCTTTACGTCCCACTTTGCCTTCTTTAACGGAGCCTTTACCGCGAATAATGATCTTCGCGCCGGTATCCTTCTCCATGGCCTTCAGTGTGTTGCCACGTGGTCCAATTAAGAGGCCCACGAAATTAATGTCCGGATGCTGTTCCTGCGGAATCAATACCTTATCGCTGACACGCGTAACAGGTGGTCTAAAGAAGAGATTACAATAGTATTAATTTGAATAATTAATTTAAATAATTATCTTCTCACTTGTAATCCGCTGGCGGCTTGAACTCCGGATTAACAGCCTGCATTTTGACAATGAGCTGATGGCGCTGCTCTTCCAAGCGCTTGCGATAGCGAAATTCTCGTGTGTTCAAACGTTTGCCATCAGAACTGTAAATGGGCTCCGGGGAAGGCGACCTGGGAATGAGCAAAACAAACAGAAAACACTTGCTTTTGAAATGGGCGTGCTCAGTGGCTAACGGTAGACGATTGTCTAAGCTTAATAATCTTATTTTAGGTACTACATTATCGTATTTGAAATATTTTATATGGATTATATCGTATAGCATAAATCCTGTAATTTGCAAATCATCATCATTAGCAAGTTATGATTAGAAAAATTTGCTGGTGAATTGAGAAGAGAAGAATTTTGATTAATTCATTTAGTTTTCGATTCGATTTGTCGCACACTTAGATCTACGCATTTTGAAATGCATCAGATGCATTCAGTTTGTTTGGCTGGTCTGTTGTTGCTTGGGAGTGCACCCTTCGGGTAAATGGGCTCAGTTTTCTGTAAAACGTGCATTTAAGTATTGGACGCTCACTTGGCTTGGAGGAAGAGAAGAAATTGGCATTATTATAATATTAAATCTGATTAGATTAGATTGCCACACGCTTACACTTCTCAGGAGTCGAATCTAAAACGCTGTCTGACACCAATAAAAAAAACCCTTGAAATGTTTTTAAAAATATTAATTAAGACTAGCATTAGTTGTAAACCAACAAAAATAAGAAAAATCAATTAAGAATATTGCGACCAGAAAGCAGCTTTTCATTAGTTTTCCTTTCCAAAGCCCCCATAACCGGGGATGTGCATTCAAGGCACTGGCATAACGTTTATAAATGTGCTTTGAACTGTGCTTTAACCGTAGGCCTTCACCCAAATATTTGTTACAGAATATAGTTTATCAAAGCATTCACAAAAGCGATCAACAGACATAATTGTACAAGAATTTAGTTTAGTTACATCGAAATCAGATCTGTTGATAATGCCTTTGTGTAATACACATACATATATAGGCATAAGAAATTAAAAATAAATAATTATCATTTGTTCTCATTTTGTAATTGCAGAACATGCTGCATTAAACCTGTACAAATTGCAGCATTGGTGTAGATCGTAGGTCGTAGATCGCATTGCCATCCCACAACCCGATTCGAATCCATCTCCATTGCTGTGCTCACTTTGGTTTGATTTATTTTTTTTGTTTTAGGGGTAGATAAGGAGAGGTGAGGTGTGAGTATAAACAGTTTCAAACCTTTCTTCCGGTGTCTGCGTGATGCCCAGGTCGCCAGTACGCAGCTTGCGGCTAATCTCCTCAATTTGGAATTGAACTGTAATTAGAAGTCGTTAGAGAAGAAGAAAGAAAATCGAGCGCAACCTCGACATTAGTATATGTTAAATGCTAATTTTGTACGAGAGAGAAAAAAGAGAGATTTATTTATATATGTTGTATATCAAATAATGGTGGGCTAGAGGGGGAGACCGTAAAGATTATAATCTCTATGAGCCTGATACGACATTTGTGTTTCCGTTTTACAGACGATAGCGCCGACACGTGCCTAAACTAACTGAAAATTTGTGAGCGTTACAATTATTACAATAAAATTAATATTTGATCGATTTAATTGATTTGTTGGATGATTAGATTGGTTCATGTATTTCTCTTTGGGCATTTAGATAAGATTATCTAGCCGTTTGGAACTCGTGTCGTTTGTGTCACACGCCGGAATCCCTTCAAAAAGAGAACGAGAGATTATTATAGTTTGCTCATTGCAATTTTTTGTTGAGGTTTTACGTTTTCTCGCACGTCCGGCCGTCTGACATGGACTTCTAACTGTGGTGGATAATGGTAACGGTAACGCTTACTGTGATCTCCCCGCGACTATTTGTGGCTGTGTTTGTTTTGCTTATTAGTTGTCATTAGACTTAAATCTAAGCTTATCACTAACTTAGTTGCCTACTAACTACAAGTGACACAATTAGAACTAATTTACCTAAATAGGCCTCCTGCTGTGCCGGGTCCAGCGTGGAGGGCAAAATCGTAGGCATGCCCGGTATAAATGTCTTGTCTTTTTCAGTGCCGCCCCATCGTGATTTCCGTTTGCGCTTCCGTTCCGCTGCGCCGTCCACTGAAAGCATTTAGAAACTTGTTTAGAAGAATAGTCTTACAGACTGAGGTGCCATTACATACTTGAATTCTCAGAGACTCCATTGCTTGTGGAATCGTTGCTATTTTGATTGCTAAACATTGCTGCAAAACTTTTATTGTTGCTCACATTGCTCATTAGATCCTGTATGGTTTGGGAAAGATCAAAGCGCGAAGTGGTCTCCTCCCTAATGGACTCCAACTGTGGCTGTTGAAGATGACGCTCAAAGAGAGACGGTATTCGCGACTCCTGGTCATGCGACATATTTCGACTGTTCGATGTGTCGAATGGGTTCACATAGGTGCGCTCACGACTGGTGCGCTCGCGACTGCTGCGCTCTCGACTATTACGATGCGAATCATTGCTGCGCTCATTACGACGCCGATCGTAGCTGCGACTGCTCGAGCGACGCCTGCGATTACGATCGTAATCATCGCGACTGCTTCCCCCTCGCGAACCGCTTCGTCTTGATCTTGAGTCGCGGTCCCGATCACGTCTGCGATCACGGTCCTTGCTTCGTGAGCGTTTCTTGCGTCTGTCATAGTCATCATGGTTACGCGAACGACTGCGATGCGATCGGGACTCTCGATCCCGCTCACGCTCACGGCTGTCACGGCGACGACTTTCGCGATCTTTGCTGCTACGATCGCGATCTCTGCATAGAAAATAGTAGATAAGTAATTGCAAAAGCAATGATCATGACATTTTCTAAAACACCAACCTGCGCTTTTTCTCACGTTCTCTGTCTTTGTCCTTATCCCTGCTTCGGTCTTTGGAACGAGAACGATCCTTATCCCGGCTTCGGTAATCGTTTTCATTCCCACCGTTGGCTTCTTTTTCTTTACCAACTCCGCCGGGCACCAGCAGCAGTTCTGGCGTTTCACTCATTTTCTTAACACAATTTTCACGATGTGCCACAAATTTTTCTTCTCATTAATTGAAATATTTAACGATTGCAGTGCGGCACGCACATTCGGTGTCGGCCTTCTTACCAATACTAATGCAACAACAAATGTAACGCGGAATTGCGTGGCAAGCAAGAAATATTTTCAGCTATGCCACACTTTAGACGAATATCGAATTATTTATATTTGTGATGCTACTTCTTTTACTGAAGTATTTTCACAATATTTCCAGCTTTATAGACTATAACATATATATATCTACAGGAGTAGATGCTGGTTTTCGGCGAAAAATTCACACACGAATGTACGTATTTTCGCAGGGATGCTTTATTGTTAGGGCTGTAAGAATGATATCGATGAATGCGATGAATCCAAATATTTTTAGTGAACGTATCGATATCTCATTTGCACGTGCATTGCGTTTGTTTTCATTTTCCTTATGCATTCAACTCGTTTAAAATAGATACAAAAATGGGTGTAAAAGCTAAAAAGTCCAACGCCGATGCGGTATACTCAAAAAAGTCAGGGAAGACTAGTAATCCCTTCGATAGTGCAATATCGCAGACTTCTAAACGTCTGAATCCGTTCGATGTACACGTGAACAAAGAGAAGTTTAAAATCTTGGGCCGGATTTGCAAACATGACCGAGGCTTACCTGGCGTGTCTCGTGCTAAAGCGTTAAAGAAGCGAGCCGAAACAATTGGCAAGCAATATGAGGTCAAGCACAAAACCAATAAATTTAGGGACCACCGCATTGGCAAACACCTTACCGGTGAGCAGCTGACCGAATCTGTAATGAATGCACGGTATTTGGCTGAGAAACTGTCTCAGGTGCGCGCCTCAAACAAAGCGCAGAAATTTAACCTGAACGACGATGAGCTACTGACGCACAGGGGCCAAACGCTAGAGGAGATTGAAAAGTACAGAGACGAGCGCTCCGATGACGAGGAGCTTGAGGATGAGGGTCTCGACGGTAAGTAGTTAGTATAGAAATCAATAATAAATGTGTGGTAACGTGCTTTAATCTCTAATCTTATAGCTGAGTTCACTTCTGCGGCTCACTTCGGTGGTGGAGCGGACGCCACACAAGATCGTCAAACGGCTATAGAAGAAATGATAAGTGAGCAGAAACGTCGCAAGATCGAAATCGCCAAGGATAAAGATGAAGTGCATGATCTGACCGAGAAGTTGGATGCCAACTACAAGGATTTATTGTCGCTGGTGGCAAAGGCCACTAAGGATGAACAGATCGCGAAGCCGCCGCCTGATGACTATGACAAGTTATTAAAAGAGATGATCTTTGAACCGCGTGGCAGTGTCACAGACAAACTGATTAAGCCGGAGGATCTGGCAAAACAAGAGGCTGCTCGCCTGGAGCAACTCGAAAATGAACGTTTGCGTCGCATGAAAGCGGATGATGAACAGCCGGAAACAACTGTACAACCTCATCGTTCTGCTGATGATTTGGATGATGGTTACTTTGCCACTGGCATCGAGGATGATGCCGACGATACCTTAGCATACGATTTGGATGGCAATCTAGGCACGCATCTGAATAGCAAAAAGGACACTTCGAAGGTGCAGAGCAATGACAAGTCTGAGGATGGCTCTGATGATGAGGGTGGTGAAGAGGATGACGATGAAGAAGAAGAGAGTGATAGTGATTCCGAATCTGAGGCAGATAACTTAAGCGATCTGAAGGCAACGGACAGCGAGCCAGACTCAGAGTCAGAGCAAGCTCCACAGCCCAAAAAAACTAAAAGCAAATCCCAAAAGCAGAAAGTTTCCGAAACGATTGAAACCAGCATACCGTACACGATCAAAATGCCCAAGACATACGAGGACTTCGCTGAGCTGCTGGCCAAGTATACGCCGGCACAGCAGGTTACAGTTGTCGAGCGCATCATCAAGTGCAATCATCCCAAGCTAGAGGGCGTGAATCGTGAGGATGTTGTCAAACTCTTCGGCTTTTTGCTGCATTACATTAAGGACATGTTCGAGGATGCCAGCGAGCTGGACATTGGCTCGCATTTTAAATTAGTCTCCCAGCTAATGCCCCACTTACATGATCTGGTCCACCTGAACATCGATCGCATGTCGAACACATTGTTGGATGTGATCAAGGAAAAATACGCCGAGTTTCGAAAAAATCATAAAATATACTCCACACTGGACACACTCATCTATTTTAAGATCGTCTCGAATCTGTATTCCACCTCGGACTTTCGTCATCCGCTGGCTACGCCAACGTACATTTTTATGCAGCATATGCTGTCAAGAGCGCGCGTGCGCACACGCCAAGACATTGCTATGGGCCTGTTCGTAGTCACCATTGCACTGGAGTTCGGCTCGAGATCGAAGCGTTTACTTCCTGCTATTTTCAATTTCCTGCAGGGCATCGTCCACATGGCCATACCCAAGCGGCAGCAGGAGCGTGTAGAGATTGCGCCGCCATTCGAGCAAGATGGACCCTTCAGCAAACTGTTGGCCATTCCAGTGACGAGCGACACTAAAGCCCTCCAGCCACAAAAGCTGCAGCCTGCAGATCTGGTTACACAGACGATAGACGTCGACTTTAGGGTGCGCGCATTGGACTCGACTTTATGCTTACTCAAGCAAATATTTGAGGAGCAAATGGGCGAACATACTGGTGCCTGCTATTTAGCTGCTCCCTTTTTGCCCCTGATCGAGCAGCTGCCCATGAATCTGTATCCTGAGCATGTGCAGCAACATTGTGCAGAGGCAAAGTCCACATTGAAGTCTGTGGCGGAGCAGAAAATGAAGCCTCTGGCGCCGCCCGACAAGAAGCCAAAGGCCTTGCGGCTACTGGAGCCTCGCTTCGAGATGGTATACGACGATAAACGAAGACCCAAGATGTCTAAGCAGAAGGAGGAACGCGCCAAGCTGCTGCACAAGATCAAGCGCGAGAAGAAGGGCGCCATCCGGGAAATCCGCAGAGACACGGCCTTCGTGCAAGATCTCAGGCTCAAGCAACAGATACAAAGGTGAGAGAAAGCATATTTTTGTTCGACAAAAGATCTTTTGCTGATTTTCGTAAATTTTCCATTGCAGCGATAACGAACGTCGCGAAAAGGTTAAACGCATCTACCAAGAGGCCTCCGTGCAGCAGGGCGAACTCAATGAATTGGCGCGCGCCAAGAAGCGTAAAAAGTTCTAAGCTCCAATCGTCCATAAGAAGTGCAGACGCAAATGATGTTATTTTTTTAATAATTATAAAAACAAAAGTCAAAACCTATTTTATTGTGTCCAAGGTCTAGGTCTGCTTGCTCGAAATCTGCCGGCAGCGCAACGTCGCTGCCTCAACCGCGCCAGCCACAGCCGCACGGAAACCTACAAAGTCCAGAGATAAGAGAAGTCTCTTTATCAGCATCAACGTCATTCATTTAGGTACCTGACTGCTCGAGGTACTTTAATGCCGCTGCAGTTGAACCGGCTGGACTGGTTACATTGTCCTTCAGCTGGCCGGGATGTGTCTGGGAATCGCGTACCATATGACCGGCGCCCAGCACTGTCTGCGCTGCCAGGCGATAGGCCAAGTCTCTGGGCATGCCCATGTGAACAGCGCCGTCGGCCAGGGCTTCAATCATTACAAAGACATAGGCCGGGCCGCTGCCGCTCAGCGCTGTGACAGCGTCCAGCTGTGACTCGTCGCAGGGCTCGCAGGTGCCAACAGCTTCGAGAAGGCGCTGGGTGACCTGGGCATCTGCATCGTTCGCCTGGCTGCCGCGCACATAAACCGAGCAACCGGAGCAGACCAGAGCCGGGGTGTTGGGCATGACGCGGATAACGCGCGATTGCGGGGATAAACTGGACTCCAGTGTCTTCAGGGTGATGCCCATGGCCACGGATAGGAACAGCTTGTTGGCGCTAATTGGTTTGATCTCTGCCAGAACTTGGGGCACAACCTGCGGCTTAACAGACACAAACACAATCTCCGATTGCATCACAATGGGCGCGTTCTCGACGAGTGTCTCAATGCCCAGTGCTTGAAAGGATTGCTGGGATATTTTGTCTGCCGGATGGACACTGGCTATAATGCCGCTGGGCTTGGTGAGACCTGCGGATATGAATCCTTTGGCCAAAGCTTTGGCCATATTGCCGCCTCCAAGAAAGCCGATTTTGCCTATAGATCCCATTTTGTATATAGGGCTGCGACTGATCTCTCCACTGCCGAAGTATTGACTGTTTTGTTTCGATCTGTTCCATTGGTGAATCTAGCTCACTGATAAGCAATCTTGTTTTTGATGCGTCGTAATTCCCCCCTTACCCTTTAAAAGCTCTATGCTTCGAACCCAAAGTCTGCAGTTATTAATCGTATTCGCTCTTATCTCTTGTATGAATGTATTCGTTTACATATTGATATTGCATAGCGTTTTATCATCTAAGAGGCAACGGCAAATACATTATTTATTCAGCTTTCTATAAGAGAATAAAAATTATCCATTTTATTGCAGTAATTGCTTTTAATTTAAACTGATTTCATTCTAAAATATTTTAAATGATATACGTTATTCGAATTTCTTCAATATAAATACAGATATATTCAAATTTAATACCAAGTTGGCAGCACGAATAAAATACCAAATTCCAACAATATATCGAAATGCAACCAACCAAAATTTCCTAACACTATTTTCAGTCGCTTTACAACTTTATTTACTTAGAACGACGTCAAGAGAAATTTTTACAATACTTATTGCAACTTTCTGAGCTACAAATAAATTTACATTCAATTATATTGTGATTAAGGTATAGAGTAAGCCAATGCTGACAACGCACATTAGACTAAACATATAAAGTAAATGCTTCGGATAGCACAGACCAAACTCGGATGCAATTTGTCTTAATACCCTGTGCTTGTGTTGTTTTCACACATTTCTCTGGGCAGCTGTGACCTAGCTGTAATTGCAATTACGATAGCAACAACAAGGAAATACAATTTGCGAGGTGGGTGAGCCAAACAAACAAACAAAAAAAAAAAAAAAAACTGACAAAAGTTACGACGCACATACACACGTCGCTAGCAATCGGTGTGCTGGAGCGCTCATCGTGCTAAGCAAACAAATTGAATATTGCATTTTTGTGTGTGTGGGCGAATTACGCACGGCCGTTAAGCTGAAGGAATTCGCCACCCCCAATGCAATTTGCCACGTGTATTTTTTGCACGTCCCATTCTCCAGTCGTGTGTGTGTGCGTATGCGTATGTTTATGTGTACTTCCACACAAACACACAGTCAAACATCATATTTGTTATCAACATAATTCATTGTTAAGTATTTGGTGTGCGTATGTGATAAATGTCAATATATTTTATTTGTTGCAATAGTTTCAATTCAAGCAGCAGCTATCGGGTCAAAAATTATTAAGCAAAAATGTCCTCGTCGACGGCGTCCGGGTCAGCTTCCCGCAAGCAACCCACTGCCGTATCGCGCATGAAACAGGATTACATGCGCTTGAAGCGCGACCCTTTGCCGTACATCACCGCCGAGCCGCTGCCAAATAACATTCTGGAATGGCATTATTGTGTTAAAGGGCCCGAGGATTCACCGTATTATGGAGGATACTATCACGGCACATTGCTCTTTCCCCGGGAGTTCCCTTTCAAGCCCCCATCTATTTATATGCTAACGCCGAATGGACGCTTCAAAACAAATACCAGACTGTGTTTAAGCATTTCAGGTAATTGCAGACTGTCATTAAAACAAATAATTGCTCATATACCAACTGTTTCGTCTCTTAGACTTTCATCCAGACACATGGAATCCAACTTGGTGCGTGGGTACCATACTGACAGGCCTGTTAAGTTTTATGGTAAGGCTATTGCATTGAGTCACTCATATTGGCTATTTATCCATCTCTGTTCATTTTCCAGCTGGAGAGCACACCCACTTTGGGTTCCATAGAGTCGACGAGCTATGACAAGCAAATGTTTGCCCAGAAATCGCTTGCATTTAACCTACGCAACGCCAACTTCTGCGAGCTCTTTCCGGATATTGTCAGCGAGATAAAGTTACGTTTACAGGGCACTCAAGCAGCGGGCAGCGCAAGCAAACCAGGCACCAGCGCTTCTTCACGACCGAATGGCTTGGCCAACGGCAGCGCCGTTCCGAACGAGAACCACAATAAAAATGCCAGAAATGCCAATGGTCAGCTACCATTGCCAACGGATGCCAGCACCAGTGATGGGCGATCTGTTGCCACAGCGGCCAGCGCGGATGTTGCCAATGGTGGTGCTACAGCGCTCAAAAACAGCACACGTAATTCCTATTTAAATTGGCAGTCGATCTATTCGAACCTGGTGATTATAATCTGTTTTGCAATATTTGCACTCATTGTTAATTACGTGATCAAGAACCTGAATCAGGAATAGACTTAAATTGTAAGCAATCAGTACTAAATAGCCTCTATATTTATATATGAATATGTACATGCGTATATATGTATTTAAAATAGTTTATTTTAAATTAGACACTTTCCGCTCTGCCCGCAGCTGTCGTACATACATATTAAAGATCGATTCCAACATTACCTTCCACAATCCAATGCGCCACGCCCGGGAAGAGCTCAACGAATAACCAAAATAGAACCTTGTGTGCACAGCTTGAAAAGTATTTGCCGACACTGCTTACCCAAAATAAAACATAAAGAAAAATTTAAAAAGGAATAAGTAAAATGAACGCCGTAAAGAAACCCTCATCGAAGTTAGTCTGAAAATATTGGCAATAACGCATAAAATTTTTAAATTTCAATTATTTGATAAATTGTTTTGTTATGTATTCATAAATAATAAACTAGTATATAGTTATATAAATGATAAATGAAATTATGAGTAACAAATTAATCGGGTTATGTTTGTAAATTAATAAAATGAGCAACACAGTACACAAAATATATAAGTATACAAAATATGCAATGCAACTAAGAATCCGATATTTGTATTTATAACTTGAGGCTGTATTAAGAAAACTCTATCGACTCTTGTCTAACAATTCCAATGCAATTCAATTACATATTTTCTCAACTTAGTTGGCTAACTGTAGTCTAATCACATTGACCCACTAAAGCACCATTGTATGTGTATGTGTATGGGTGTGTGTGTGTGTGTATGTGTGATAAATAGAGGCACACACACATACACCAGCTAATATCAAATAAAGTCGCCACAAAGTGCACCACAAATCGAAGAGGTCCTGTGGATAACATTTGAAGTTCGGTCAAAATAATAGTCAGAAGAACGCATTTTGCTCACAAAGTTTGCGGACAAGCTCTCGCCCCGCCAAAGTTGATAATTTAACTAACGTAAATTTCAAGTTCAGGCCACGTCAGTGCAGACAATGGCAAAAAGTTTTTGCTATGGCTGCTGCTGCTGCTGCTGCCAGATGCAACTTTTCAAATTTTGTTTTTCGTTTCATGAACTTGAACAGTTAAAGCCGATTCAGAGCGAATATAAAAAGGTAAAAGAATAAGAAAATATCTTGCATAAAATTAAGAGAAATGCAACGAAGTGTATATACTCTATTAACTGTATGAACTCATTAAAGCTTAACTATACGAAAGAAACCAAATAAGTCTAATAAAAATATCATATGTGACATAATCGCAAGCTTTGAGTATTATTGTGGGAAATGAAAGGAGACTTGGAGACAGATTAATTCAATTAATGCTGCAAAAAACTTAAAGCTGAATTAGTTTTAAAAAAAAATCATGAATTTATAATTTTACAAATATTTCACTAATTGAATCTAAAAAAATATATTTTGGCTTTAAATATTATTGTTATTACTACTATTCATTTTTAAAAAAATTATATTTATATTATATATTTATATTTGCATTTGCTATATACATACAAATATATATTTTGTGTATACATATGTCCAGCTTCCATTTTAACTTTATATTTTTACAAATTCGACAAATAACGAACTTTTCTTATGATGTCTTCATACTCTCTTAATCCTCTGGCAGTCAGAACGACGTTTTCCGAATCGACTAAGTAGAAATCTCGCTCTTCCTCAGCAACACGAGGCACATCCTTCAGTATATGTAGCTGTGTTTAACTCTCGCTCGATCTAGCTCTCTCTTTCTCTCTCTCTCTCTCTCTCTCTCTTACACAAAGAAGCTTTCAGCTGAGTCATAAACCCTCAGAGATCGGAGATCGTTTTTATAGTCCATACTAATATTTCTACAACAGTTGCAGGCAATCATTAGAAGATTGTATCATAGAGTTCATAGAGTATTCGAATTGAAGATATGATAGCATATTAGTGTAACTCTTCATGTACTTACATAACGTAGCTAAACAAGAGACCAAGCAGAAGTGGGTTTATTAAGAGCAAAGTTAGCTTGTCAGCTCATGTATGTATTTTCCTGGGAATGGAATCTGCCCAGGGAGCAAGCAATATACTATGTATGTAAGAATGCAAACTTTTTGCTCGGAGCTTATTTTAAGTGGGCACCAAGCTGGCGACATGTTTGGACAGACGGAGTCAGATGCCAGTGCGCTGCACTGGCTATTTCCGGCACTCACTTCGATGTGCAGGCGGAAGCAGCGCAGTTTTTGCTCATTTGCTGAGGAGCTGCTGCAACGCCGCTCAGTTGGGTCAAGCAGCTTATATGCTGGGAGTTCATTGTGCCACAAAACTGGACCACAGATGATGAGCCCATCAATTTTAGAGGCGGTCAACATATGTACACATGCAGCACATACCACATATGGACGCTGTGTTGGCTTAAGTGCACAACAAATGGCAGCAGAGCATTAGATGGCCATAAATACGGCTGCTGCTTAGGCCACTATGTAACATAACTCCCGCGACTCGAGCTAAGCTGCTTATATTGCGAAAATATGCCCATTGTCTCTTAAATGCCCAAAAAGAAAACAAATGTACCTCGGGCACAGCAGCAACAGCAATAACAACAACTACATATAGCAACAATAAATGTTCTCTGACTCCTTAACGGCCATAAAAACAGTGGTCAAGACAACGGGGGAACAAACAAATAAACATATGAGGTGGGCGCAGTCTAGTGGGGCGTGCTAGACTCGGGAATATCCTCATATAAAGGTATTTATGTATAATGAGTCCTAGTGTACACATTTTATTTACAATAATTTCTAATAATTTCTGTCGATTTCATTGTGATATTGTA